AAAAGCGTAAATCAGCCTAATATCACGAAAGGAGGGAGGGTAGAGTTACTGACCAGCAAGCATTGATGGTGAGGGCGATGACTTCAATACACCCAAGTATGTGGAGCAGAACATTTAGTGTCAGGCTCTTTATGGATGAGAACAAGTCAATCAATCTGTGATATTGAGGTTGTTCTCCTACACTCACCATTCAGACTTATGTTTCTAATTTTTATGCTGGATGATGGACCTAAAAAGAAGATATACAACTGGTGTATGCACCAGTAATTCTACCCCACACTTAAGTAATCTGTTCTTATGAATACGTGTCTTCAGCAAGGTCATGTTTATTCCATACAGTCACGGTACTCGGATAACACGAAAGAGTAATTCGTGTTAAGTATCAAAGATGATGTGTAACCTCAACTCGGGCAACGAAGGTACACGATTATCCTCCAATCTTTGTGTATTCAAAAGGGACAGAGCCCGAATTCCACTTTTTTCCTGTGTTGGATAACAAACAACAATGACAAACTCTTAAAGATTTCTGGTTTTAATATACAACGGCTTTCTCTTATCTGTTGTAATGAACAATACCTTGACAGGTTTACGATCATGTAAGAAGTTAACATTTTGTTATTCCATTCCTCTGGTTTGTATATTATTTACTATAGGATCATATGTTCGTATCTCTTTTTGTCCAGAGTTTCGGGTTTCAAGTTAATAACCTAAGTTCATCTGAGTGACAGTCACTGGCCAAATATTTATCTTCGGTCTAGAAAATAAAACTAGCCATGATATTCTTTCAATATTTTGACAATTTTGATTATTTCACGTTCGATAGCATTTTTAGGGACACAAAACTTATATCTGCTCAAGCTGTAGTGATTTAAGAATTGGTATGATAAGGGAAGTAGAACCTATCTATTTAGAGATCCTGAAGTGGTCGTAGAAGAACTCTATCCTAGAAGAAGACGGGTCGATCCGTATTACTCACTCTGTGGAACTGTAGTGAACGAAACGCCGGTTGGGGACAATCGAATGTATTTAAGCAAACATTACAGACTATCTCGGTAAATTCTGATAACCAAACAATGAACAGTCAATTTGCAAATTAACAACCAATTGTTTCAATCTTCATTGTTTCTTCTCTAATTCCGTTGCTCATGCATTTTCCTTCCGATTGCGCTTCGTTTCAGTTCTTTCCTCATCGGTCTTCTGCCAAAATACATTCTGTCTGACCAACACCATATACTACTTATATGGATATAAGTAGACCACACAACAGAACTACCGTTCGATCTCTCACTGTCAATAGAGAATCCATCATTATTACATTTTGATGACTTTTGACCTGATCAACGTCTTGGATTACCATCTCCAGTGGATTACACTGAAGATGGAAACAGGGACAGGAGCATAACATTCAGAAGAAGTGAGGCGGGGGTTAACCTCAAGTGGTTGCAAACGTTTAACCGTTCATTGGATGAGAACAGGAGATGTGATACATACACATGACCGGTCCTGAGGCCCGAATCCGAGCCTTGTGAAATCCGCCTCAGAATAGGTCTTAAAGCCTTCAGATATGTGGGACTAAAAAGCAACCTAATAATGGAGTACTGTATCTTAAAACATCCAGTCACTGGTACTTATGTAGTCTCGTTTCCATTTTAAACCATTGACTAAATGCCTAGAAATGAGAGATTCAGAAAAGTAAGTCAGTCTGTAGGAATACAGTTTACACTCTACGAATGGTCACGTATTAGAATTCTTGACTCAGTGGTCTATCGGTTAAGGGCTTCGGCTCGAGACTGTTAGGTCCTGGGTTCGAATCTCGCGAGAGCGGGTTCGTGGATGCGCACTGCTGAGGAGTCCCATAACAGGTCGAAACGGCCGTCCTGTTTTGCACCAACTTCACAACCAAGAGTTTCACAATCTTGACGAGTCAGTACGGTGCTCAGTAAGATTATCTACCACCTCGAGGTGCCTAGTTGGTGTCGTTTACAGGAAGCCCACTGCCGACATCGAATATGACAAACGTCTGCTGGAAGGATTAACTCGCTCTACGCGTCTCGGATTCTCTCATATCCTGATTCTAGGGAATTTCAATCTCCCTAGAATCAACTTCGTGGAACATACATACATTGGTGGTGCCAACTCTACTGAAGCTCTGTTCTTCAACCTTATCGGCGACCTGGGATTATTTGAAAATGTGAAGTCGGCAACCCGTTGGAGAAACAGTCAGACGCCGTCACGCTTAGACTGGGTATTCACAAATGAAGAATTCCTAGTTGACGACCTCTCAATCCTGGCTCCCCTGGGGAAAAGTGATCACGCCGTCTTATCATTCAGCTTTGTCAGCAAAACGGAGCTACGATATCCTACTAGCAACAAGCGCTGGAACTTCAAACGGTTGAATGTGTTAGCTTTACAGGACTATCTACAACAGGTGCATTGGGATGTTCACCCCCAAATTGAAGTGGATGCTCATTGGGATTTTTTACTGCACACGATCTTATGTGCTACTGAGCATTCAGTTCCTAAAATGGTCCCAAAAAACTACAAGCAACCTCCAATCATCAAGAACCGCACTCGTCGTTCGCTAAGCCGCAAAAGGCACTGTTGGGCTGAATACAAACGAACTGATAACAACGGAGCGTACAGGCAATACAAACATATAAGGAACATATGCACAAAGGCAATAAGAGAAAACAGGCTTCAGTTCCAGACCAAGCTTATCGATAGATTCGTCTCCAATCCGAAAAGCTTGTTCAGTTATGCAGCTTCTCTTCGATAAGGCAAAACTGGGGTTTCCCAACTGCTTGGTCCTAATGGCTCGACCAACAACGACAGTGATGCCGCTAACCTTTTGGCTGAACATTACTCCCGGACATTCCAGCTGACCCACATCAACCATACTGACGAAAGCTTCACCTGCACCTGTACAGGACTTTTCGAAGTGGACCTGAGTGCTGACCTGGTGCTCCGTAAACTGCAGAACCTAAGAAAAGACGCTTCTCCTGGTCCGGACATGGTTCATTCCGCTGTATTGAGGGAAGCAGCTTCAATCCTGGCGACACCACTTAGCGTGATGTTTGCACACTCGCTAAGCAGAGGCAAACTACCGGAAATATGGAATCTGGATCACATCACACCAATTTTCAAAGGAGGTCGACGCAGTGAACCCTCAAGCTACCGACCAGTGGCCCTTCTCTCCATACCTTCAAAAATTATGGAATCCCTAGTATTCGACGGCATACTAGAACACTTATCATACTCAAAGTTCTTCTCGCCTCAACAGCATGGTTTCAGAAAAGGTCACTCTTGTATGACCAACCTGCTGACTGCGGTGGATAGATGGATAACCATCCAAGGGGAAGGTTGACGTCATCTAGCTGGACTTCTCAAAAGCTTTTGATAGGGTCAACCATGCATGTCTTATCAATAAGTTGGGACGATTGGGTATAAAACCCCCTTTAATTGATTGGCTCTTTTCATATTTAGAAAACCGACATTTTAAGGTCAGGGTTAGCTTCACTCTCTCTCAGGCTATGGAATGTCCTAGTGGGGTCCCCCAGGGTTCAATAATAGGACCTATTCTCTTCTTGATTTATATTAACGATCTTCCTCAACAGGTTTCATCTGACTTATTGCTTTTTGCTGATGATGTGAAACTTTGGAGAGAGATACGTAATCATAATGATATACTAGTTCTTCAGGAGGATCTGACTCGACTTCAAAGTTGGGCAGACGACAACGGACTTACCTTCAACACTTCAAAGTGCAAGGTAGTCCATCTGAGACATGTTGCAGACTATAGTTATAACTTAGGTAACTCACCTCTAGAAGTTTCCCAAGTCGAAAAAGATTTAGGAGTGTTGGTACCCTACGACCTGAAATCGTATGCGAACTGTGACAAAAACGCCTCTCAAGCAAACCTTGCACTGGTAACATTGAAGCGCATTTTTCGCCAGTTTGACGGTAGAACCTTCCACATAATCTTCAACAGTTTTATTCGTCCCCACTTAGAGTACGGAAACATAGTATTTCCTCCCTCCAAAAGGATAAGGACACTCTGGAACGTATACAACGTCGAGCCACGAAATCAGTTTGGGGTCTCAAATTCAAACCTTATGAAGAGCGCCTCAAATCACTTAACCTTTACCCGTTAGAGTATAGGCGTCTTAGAGGTGATCTTCTTATGACTTATAGTATCCTTAATACTTCTGGTCATCCCCTTAAACAACTTCTTAAGCTTAGTCATAACACTAACCTCAGAGGTAACACCCAGAAATTGGAGACCCTACATAGCAGAACAGACTGCAGACACAACTTCTACTCCGCTAGAGTTGTCAAGTGCTGGAATTCGCTGCCGACTGAGCTAGTCCAAGCGACCTCCCAGGAGTCCTTTAAGAGGAAACTTGACTTATTCTTAAGGACTAAGGATAACATATTATTATGATTTACCAAACTTTTTTTCCTCTATTATCGTTCATATACCTAGGTTCTTACCTGGAGGTATTGGTGATCCACTGCTACCAGACACGGAAGCCCGTTAAGCGAAAGCTTCTTCTATTCCGTCCTCAACCATTTGAACCATTTAATGGTTGAAGTTGTCTAAACAATTCCCCAGTAATCACTCAACAAGAAGCTTTATATATTCTTGAGAACTCAGAACAAAATGTCACAATATTTTTTTCCACCTGTTTCACATACTCAGGCTCCCAATTGGAAGGGTCAGCGATCAACTGTTATCAGGTACGAAAGCTTATTAAAATTCAACTTTAATCTCGTTCATAACTATTTGGATCAAATTTGGTTGACCTGACCAACTGAATCGGCATCAAATATGATAAAAGGCAACAGGGATTGAAGAATCATCCTCTAGTTGCAATCACGAACTGCTTATGGACAAATACTGTAGGAATATCATCACACTCAGTATTTTATTGGACATTAGATTTGTTTAAAAGTTTCAGTTGTATAACGACCTAGGACACAAAAGAGTGAACACTTCTAAAATGGCTAAAAAGAGAGGAGAGATTGCATTGCAAGAAGAAATTGTGGACGAAGATAGTTGGAACGCACTACGTATAAAGCAAGGGTTAATAGGTATTCTGTCAATTGTTTCTTATTTTGTTTCAGTTGTAGATGTCTACCAAGAATGGTGTGGTCCTTGTTCTGCTGTTGTTGGTCTTTTTAAACGACTCAAAACGGAACTAAACGACGATTTGTTGCATTTTGCAGTTGCAAGAGCAGATACTGTAGAAAGCTTTCAACTGTACCGAGGGAAGTGCGAACCTTATTTCCTATTTTTTGGAGTGAGTTGCAATATTTCATTTTGACGAAACAGGGTGGATGCCTTGTTGCAGCAGTAAAAGGAGTAAATCCCCCACAGTTGGAGGAATGTATCTTAAGCAAGTTAAAGCAAGAACACGATGTTATAAGCGGCGAAGCTGAAAGGGTTGAGGTGCACTAATAATTATGTTTTTAAGTTGTTCCATAGATACGTGATCCTATGGTTATTGCTAAAGAACTAAAAGAGGCAGAGATTAAACAAAAAAAAGAGGAGGAGGAGGGTAAGAATTTTGATTTTCCATTTCACCGAAAAATCTGAATCAAGAGGTTGAACAGGAGCTTACCTTAGCAGTACTGAAACCTGATGTTGTTCAGTCAGGAGTAGCAGAACAGATTATTGGAGAAGTTAGGAATGTTTTTTAATTCGATTTTGTTTTAGCTCGAAGATAAAGGTATCGAAATACTCGAAAGCCAAGAACATTTGTTTACTACTGAAGAGGCTGAAATCTTCTATGAAAATGTTAAAGATCAGCCTTATTTTCAAGATCTGGTTGGATTTATGACATCTGGTCCAAGCAAAATTATAGTCTGTGCATTAAAAGGCAAGCAAGACATTATCAGTGAGCTGAGAGGGCTAATTGGACCGTCTATTTTTGAAAAGGACTCAGAGGAAATGAATGAAACGTAAGTGATGTGCACAGAATATTTGAGGCTTCATTTAAAACCTGAATGTTAAAGCTGGACTCTGTACTTTAGAAACAAAAGATATTTAGTCTTGTGCTAATGTGATAAGTGGTAGTTTTGTATATGATGAACCTAGTGATGACTCTCAGATAGGTCCGAATAGTGCTCTAATAGCTATAGCTGAACAAGCACGCGTAGACAGCAAACATTTCATGGTCACATGCGAAAGTAATATATTGCAACTAAGGTTATGTTCACAAAACTTTGTACTGCACTCCTTGTTGTATACAAATATCACTAGTTTTTCTCATACTAACTACTGCATTTGAGTCCCAGAGTGAACGTCAACTCTCAGGTGCAGGTACATCAGACTGACGGATCCGAAATAGGACGAAACCCGAGTCCTGGATTTCGCCCACCATCAATCTTTGCTTATAATGAATCAAATTATTGTTATTTATAACATTTAAAACACACACAGCTTGTTTAATAAATTTGATTTTGTCCATCTAGTCGTGATGATCCATTTTCAAACGCTGATTAAAAGTAAGGTATTATATTTCATAACAGAAGCGATTTCAATTTGATATGAAATGACTTAGGTTGTCCTGATGTTGATTTTATAACTGAAACTTGATTGGCGAATAGGGGTCCTGTGCAGAATAACCCGATATCGTCATTATGGTATAAGTTAATGTGAAATAAACGGTGTTTTAAGCAAATGGTATCCAGTCTTAGAGTAAACGTCAATTTCAAGGTGCGAGTACATCCAATTGAAGAGTAACAAGCAGGATGAAACATGCATCCTGAACTCCACCGCTAATCACAACCATCTTTTCGATATCAAAGCTGATTTGATCGGTTAAAATATTTACTTTGGTTAGGTATTGTAAAAGCTTAAGTCTATTGTATCATCTGGTTAGATAACTTCTGATCATGATTATTTTGAATTATTTTTTACCGATCCGTTAGTTGGTTTATGTTGTATCTCAATAAAATGTTCTGATACTTGTAGTTAAATTAATAATCGCTTTAATGAATGACTATCGTCCGGTCAAATTACATTACTGTGGGAAGTCAATATGATGGTTGAATTAAAGTTTTTTGATAAACGAAATGCCATAACAAACTAGCTTTTGAAGAACGTTTCAGATTTATTGTAATTGTTATAGAGTGTTTGGTCGAAAAATGCTGCTGAATTCTTAATACTGACAAATAACGTTTATTTGTTGTTTAGGATAAGAGCAAAGTATGGTACAGGAATAATCAAGAATGCGATCCATGCATCAAGCTCAAAAGAAGAGGCTGCAAGGTATAGTATTTAAATGCTTAGTATTATGTATAAATGGTTGATCCTATTTTTCCATTTTCTGGTTGTGATTAACGTATAGTTTATCTTTTAAGTACTTATGAACATAAACTAGATGACAATGAATATTGATGCTGCTTTTATGGTGATCTACACGTTTTTGTAGGCCATTTATTAATTTTGAAATATATGAATTTTCATGGTAGATTTTTTGCCTAACTGAACTCAGATTTTGTAGGAAGTTTAGGACAAATTATTGACTGATTATTAAAAATCAGGTAGAAGTAATTTTGGACAATGCAAGCTGCATTTAATCCAACATAAACTTGGAAACGAATATAAAATATGAGACTTCACTTCGAGGTCATTGAGTAGATGATTATCTGAGAGAAAATAATTTATTGATTTCGTTAAATTGGCACATATTTTTATTAGGTCTAGTTGGCTGTTTAAAGTTATTTCCCTGACAATTTAACAACACCTTATGAAAGTTTGATAACTTCTAGTGGGAATATTTTATCATTCCTTTATGTTAACTTGGAGTGTATAGTATTTTAAATGAGATTGTGAACCGATCAATGTAACACCACTATTGTAAACCTAGAAGCACTGGAAGTCCGTTTCGTCCTAATATGGGACCCCTAGGCAGTGCACATCCACGATCTCGAACTCGAATATGGAAGATCGTCGCGCAATATTGTGGATTAGTTGGAATTATGCATTAACACCGTTGGACGTACCCTCAGTGGCGCAGAGGTTAGGCGTTTGCGCGAGATAGAAGGTCCTGGGTTCGAGTCCTATATGCGAGGTCGTGTATGCATATTGATGAGGTGTCCCATACTGTGAAAAAAGTGATCGTCCGTTGCTTCCAGGTTTTTAATAGTGGTCTGACATTGGTCGATTCATGGTCTTAATTAAAACTCAATAATCTCCACAACCCTGTACTAATAAAAGTGTTTTCTTTAGAACTGATTGGTTACGGAAATCATGTATTTGTGTTAGATAGTTCGATATAAAGTAGGATGATTAATTATTGAAAAACTGATAGCTATTTTATTCGTCTAAAGTTTTCATTCCAAGCATTAAATATTTCAGTCTGAGATTTTTTTAACTGGAGTTAGTTTGCGTTTTAATGACATCTTTGATTCAATGTATGATTGCTTAAAATATAAATCAAAGTTACTAGTTTTATGTTTCCGACTGAAGTAATGATAAGAACGTTCTTATCAATTTATTTTAGCGGTTTCATACAAATTAACTTGGACTATAACAACAAGTAGGTTGATGTTTATGGCTTATGCCTTGGTTTACAAACTTCAGGTAACATCATGGTTTACAACTTGAAGTAATCAGCTGTTCTGTAAAAAATATTACTGACTGGAGTTTTACTTTCTGATAAAAATATTGTCTCATTTCCTCTACATATCGTTCTTGTGGTACCCAACATAAAGTATGCATTTCTAGTTTCAGATGGTAAAATACCCGTTTGTATTAGGCTCTGCCATTTCATTTGATAAATGAGACATTAAAAACGGTCATTCATATGTGGATAGTGAAGGTAAAATATGATTAGTCACCGAGTGTGGCAAACAGACACAACCTACTGACCATTAGATATGTGACTTCCCCTCATGAAGTTGGTTTCGATTCTGATCCCACTGAGAATGACTGCCTGTAATTGTGTGGAATAAAGTATTGTCTAATCTATACTTTGATTATCTATTCTGGGTGGTGTATCCTGGTTCTGACATAACGTGACTAGTTTTATCATTGTATTAACGTATTATCGTAGTATACCTTGAGTGAGAGAGGAATATTTGAAACATTCGTTATACTAGTGACATACTCTTATATCATAGAGAGTATTAGCTAGTGTAAGATTTAATCGTGTAAATCCTCAAGTTATCCAAAAAGGTGCCCAATACAAGTTTATGCAATAATTGAGAGATTACAACCAAAAATCTTTTTATATTTTTATGAACAACCTACATCTGGTTGCTTATATCTATACTTTTCCATGTACGACATCAAATAGCACATAATCAATAGTCTATGTTATGGTTACATTTTGATTTATTGAAACAAATTATAACAATTTTCAGTGTTTTAAACATTATTTGGGTTAAATTCACTTAGTATTGTTTGTTTGAATCTTCCCATTGATGATTAGGACTGCAACTGGTCAGTCTCTTATTGGCATATGTGCATACTGTGCGTATTGCCTCGATATTGTCTTAATTCACAAGCATTATAAGCAAAGATGGATAGTGGCTATCAGTGAATAACACGATGGTGTTTGAAGCGAAAGGTACTGGGTTCGAGTCTCAGAGTGAACTTCAACTCTGAGATGCAGGTACATCCAGCTGACGAGTCCCAAATAGGACGAAACGCGCGTCGTTGATTTCACTGCTAGCCACTATCCATCTTTGCTTACAATTATTTGGGTTAGTTTATCATTTGCAAGTAAATTTGATGTATTCAATGTCTAGTCATAATCTAGAATGTTGTTTTAGTTTTACTTCATAGATATGGAAAATAATAATATTACTTAATATTATCCTTATTTAGTTATTTAACTTAAAAATATGTACTTTCATCTTTGTTTCTTTACATATTTGGCAAAACAATCGCTTAAAATAAACAGAGAACTAGCGTTTTTCTATCCAGGTTATGAGCCACCAGTAATTACAGTGAAACGTACCCAACCAGTTGGTAAAGAACATGAAGAAACAGTTCATGCTACTGGAAAACATGAAATTGAACGAACAGTTGCAGTATTACGACCACAAGCTTATGAATTATATAAAGATGAAATAGTAAAACAAATTAAAAATTCTGGATTTACAATAGCACTGGAGAAAGTTATACAACTGACTAAAGAACAAGTAGAAGAATATTATAAGGAGCATATGGGACAACCATATTTTGGGGAATTAACTACTGTAATGTCCAGTGGTCCATGTTTGGCTTTATTATTAGCTAGAGAAGTAAGATTATTATTTTTTAAATAGTTAAATGAACTTATTCATGAGGATTTTCATAATGCTAACAAAAGTCAATCATACAATAGTTATTAGGAATAACAAGTTGTTTGAAGCTAACATTAAGTAAAAGACTAGTGCAAACTTACATTTGTCTAAACTGACTGACTCTATTCAGCCAAATAAAATCTTTTGAGCAGATAAAAAATAGATACAAGAAACATTTGAAACATTTACTCCGTGAATAATTCTGGAATCACAGAGGAACCTAATCCCCTTGTCAAGCAACTGGAATCTGTTTGGAGTTTGCGAAATAAGTAAATAATCAGGTTCTGGAGAATTCTTGTTTTGTTTCTAAGATCACGATATACGTCAATTCAACATTATATCAATACCTTAGATTGTCAACCGGTAAGAAAGGAGTTTCTCTTCTTACTCTATTGACCTGTCCTGCTAGATAATCTGAATAATCTTATTGGATAGTTCGTTTTGTTGTTGAACCCCACAATGTCTATCAGTTAACCATTTTGAGTTTATTAAAACGTAGTAAAAAGTTATATTTTTACTAACTGATAACGTTATGCAGTCACAAATCAAATTTTATCCTTTAATATCTCCGCAACTCAGTAAAACTTAAAATTATAAGGAGATCAATAGTGTTGATGATCCGTTTTTGTTATTTAATTCATTCTGTTTCGTTATTATTGTAACAGTCCAGTCAATGAAATAAGATATAATTGTCTAATGGCCATGTAATGAATGTAAGCAAGACTTAAGATGTATAATAAGCATTTCTGGAAGTCATTAAAAACGTAGGAATTTACTTATTTTTATTTATTTATTTAAACACATAAATATTGGTACAAGGAAGCACCAGATACATATGCGCCACACAAATCTCATTCGATTTGTGTGAGGGCTGTGGCAATGCCCGGTTGCCCAGACCGAAGCAGGTGGTTTTCTCAGAGGGCCACACCCTAAGCCTTTGACCTAAAGATCTGATCCACGAGGCAGTGAAGCATCGTGAGGAGATGCAATCCCATGGTAGTCGGTGACCAACGATTGACTCATATGCCATTTGTTCCTTCAGAATACTGGAGCCCATGTGCACCATTGGTTTAGAATCAGGGTTTTCCAACTCCCCTGGGTGGACTTTCGGTGTCCACCAACCCGGTTAGAGCGTTGGACACTCGCTTTTCGTCCTCTCAATTTCGTAAACAACACAGCCGCGAGAGAAAGTGAGTAGGACTTCCCTAGCAGAGGCTATATACGCGTGGTCATGTGAGAGCATTTAGAGAGGGAGAGCTAACTCTCTACACTCGGCCGTACCAGGGCATTCGGGGGCGTTTACTAATATTTATTTATTTATTTAAACACATAAATATTGGTACAAGGGGGCACCAGATATATATGCGCCGCACAAATCTTATTTGATTTATCCGTTTTTGATGTTAAGTCAAAAGTTCATAAAGAATAGGCTAATAGCAGATTAATTTTTGATGCAAATGTTATTCAAGATTTACTTGCGTAATAGAATAAACTACATAACAGTAAGATTTTAATTCAACTCATCATTGATATTAATTTTTTTTATCTACGATGATGAATTGGAAAGCTTTATAACCATTCTATTTCCTTTTGTAAGCAAAGATGGATTATGGCTAGCAGTGAAACCTGCTATGCACATATGCGAACTAGAGACTGACCAGTTGCAGTCCTAAACATCAATGGGAAGATTCAAACAAACAATACTAAATTTTTTTTTGGTTTATTAACTTACATAACACATTATTATGCTTCTATTTTTAAAAGCATATTTTGAATGAATAATTTTTCTTAATCACATCAACTTAGTAAATTTCAAGCTTCATTTATAAATAGGATGCTGTCGCTAAATGGAGAGAAATGTTAGGCCCAGAAAGTGTTAATGAAGCTAAAGCTACAGCTCCTGAATCATTACGAGCTCAGTTTACCATGACCAGTGGGAAAAATAAAGAAATCAACCTTCTACATGGATCAGCTAACGAGCATGAAGTGGAGAAAGATATTAATGTATTTTTCCCAGTCGAAAAGACAGTTGCAGCCATTAAACCAGATGCATATGCTAATAGAGATGAAATTATTGAAAGGATTGAATCAGCTGGTTTTCATGTGGCAGCACGTATAGAAACAACTCTTACCAAAGACATAGCTCGAAAACTATATGAAAACTGTTCTGGTCAACCATTTTACGATGATCTAGTTAATCATATGGTCAGGTATGTCATATTATTTGTTAAAAAGTACTTTTCATTGTGAAACTTGGAAATATTGTTGGGATTTGTCACAGCCTTGGTACATTAAAGTTGTCAGTGGTGAAAATTGAAATGCAAGCCTAATTTTTTTCGTGAAAGGCTAAAAGAATGAAAAAATAATTCGATAAACAATACTTTTAAATGAAACATGACATAAATCACATAGTTCTCCTACTTATTTCTCATAAAGTGTACAGATCCAGTCAACACTAATGCCTAAATGTTCATAAAAACAGTTCAAAATACTTTTTTTTAGAAATCTTTGTAGAGAAATTAGGCACTATATTGCTTAATAAGATGTTTTGTACATTGTATATTTTATATTTTATATATTATATTTATATATTATATTTTATATTGGTTTTCAGTTGTTCCCTAAAAGCATTGAGGATGACTTCATTTTCAGTATAGAGGTAACTAGAAAAAGCTGGACTAAAGAATCAGTCTGAATCATGAACCAATGAAATAAGTGGTTCTCGAGGCATATCATTTGCTACCTTACACAGTACTTCACCATGCTTGGATAAAACCGAATGTCAGATGTAAACTTTCCATATCCCTTAATAGTATCCGTATATAACCACGAGTAAGTAATGAATTTCACATGAAGTCAGAACACTTTTAGGAGTAGGTAAGGGAAGACTCTATTTAGTATCCGTTGAAGAACTTTACGGATGTATTTTGAAGAATACATCATTGATAAGATTATATGTATGGGGGATTAAGTCCTCTTTTAAGTTTTTAGGTTACAGTTGTCCCTCATACCTTAATTATCTATAATGCCAATACTAAAACAATTTTTACATAACTTATTATCAGACCATCCTTCTTTCTACCGTTATCAAATTTCCTTTGTCTTCTTGTTCGTACGTAACTATGATATTCTTCTTGTAATCCTTACTTAACCAATATTAGTGTTCGAATTCTCATCAAGATTTTACCAGTTCTCTTATTAAGTATCAAGGGCTTTATCAGTTCTTTAATCGTGTACCATAATTCATTTATTTACTAATTTATACATCCAAATATTATGATTGCCCTATCAACTTTTTAATTACTTTATTAATCATTTGTCATTATTTTAACGTGTAACGGTTTTATCCAGTACTGTGCCACGTGATTGGCAGTGGGCTTATCATTATTACTAAACATATATATTAGTGTAAACCTACGATGGAAAACCGATTAAAAAGAAATATTTCTTTGGTCTGTGAATCTTTTTCTAAAAGAAATAGACTAAGCTTACAAACTAATTCAATTTCACATATTTATCATTGGTGAAAAATTATTTTACTTGTCCAAATGGTTAGTCTAATACGATATCAAGAAAGCAATTCGATCCTTCTTAAGTAACTTCCTTTTACTGAATGATGAAAAAGTGACCTGTGATGTCAAATGAGCTTTAACTCAGTAACCTAGAAATGAGCTCTTTAACCATTACTATATCAATGATAATAGTTCACTCCATTCAATTTCTTTCAATAAATCAAACGATGTAGTCAGGTCCGAAAGAATACATATTAAGTACAACCAGGTCGGTAAATTTACATAGGTTACCTAAGTTATTAGTAAAATTATCTAGGATGCTCATAATCTGACAATCAAGTACTTCGCATGCCTACAAAGTGGCCGTACTAGCTATGCAAACACTAGTAACAAAAAGGTAGCAAACAGCTGTTATTTTTGCCTATTTATATCTAAAATTTAATGCCTCAATTTTTTCTGAGAAAAGTTAAAAGATATCAGAATATGTCACTCAGAACTTCGTTATTGCGTAAGATAAAGCCAAAGAACATTTTAGAAATATATTTCATGTTCAAAATTTAACAGCCTTCATTCATTAGATTAAGCTGTTCTAAAAATAACGACAGCGAACTGTGGTGGTCTTAAAGTGTTAGTCAACTAAGTAACGTTGCTGAATTTATAAAAAGGCTTTTATAAGGAGCTTGTTAACTTGTTTTATCTTATTCTTAGTCATTTTTCTTAACCGGGTGATCTGTTGATTACTTTTAAATACAGTGGTCAAACTTTGTTCATGATTTTGACAAGAAGTAATGCAATTTCCGGTTGGCGGCAACTTATGGGACCAACAGATCCAAACAAAGCATCTGACGAATCATCAGAAAGGTATCATTGTGACGTTAATTTATTTACTGTAAACATAGGTGATTGGAAGATATGGGATAATATAATGTTAAAACTTCCAGGGACAATTAATAACGAACTCATCCATTTTTCTGTGAGTGATCTGAAATTATATAACTCAAAGCATATGATCACTTATCACGGGCACCAACCAGAACGCTATAATGTCTGTTTATGACTTAGAACAAAGCTAGTGATTTTATTATCTAATACGGTGACTTGATTTGGAAAATGTCAACGTTACTGGAACTTGATACTGCATAGACCAGAATCTCACTTTGGTAAACGGATCAATATCGTATAGAAGTGAACTATCGACTAGTAGATGCATTTTATTATCTATATAATATAACGTGAAGGCATAGCTGTACTTGTAATTAGTGTTGATGATCCTTTTATCAATAACTGATCCAGTTGTATATCTACTTTTAAGAAGTAAGCTAACTTCTGAAATTTATTTTCGCGAAGCTGAGAGAGATTGAGTTCAGTATAAATAGACCATGAATAACTCGGAAGTTGTATAATAACTTTAATGAATATCGTTTGAATTATTTTCTATTATTAAGTTTCATAAAGAGATCAAAATGCTTATATAAAGTATTTTGACGTACAATGTATTTTATTCCTAAAAAGAATAATTTGCAGTTTTTCGTCTTTTTCACCTGATATATGGCTAAATTTTGCAGACTTCTTATTCGAATTTCTTAGGTTTCAGAGTTTTATTTGTCTGCTTTTAAATTCCATGAATGAAAAAAACCTATGATTTTTTTGTCTTTTTAGTATTCGTGCAATTTATGGTAGAGATATTCTTCGTAATGCAGTTCATGGATCATCAAATAAAGATGAAGTTCAGCGGATTCAGAATTTATTATTCAGCCGTATCGAAGCTAGTGAAGAAAACCGTAAGCAAATTATTAGAAATTTATGAAAGTATGTTATGAGTAGTAGTATTTTTCTAATATAATGTACCCACTAGCAGTTCCCAAAACTGTTCAAGTCGTACTCTTATAGCAATGAATGGACTGACATCCGAAGACTATGGACATATGTAAATGTACTGATATAATTCGAATTAAGAGCGCAGTAATGTACTAACCACTTACTGTTTTATATCACCTCCACAAATTAGTCAATAGTAATGAAGTGTAATCCAAAACTTACATTTGAGTTCCTATGACATACATCATGATCTGATTTTTACAAGCCTTTATGATTCATTAAAAACCTGAAGAACGTGACCCACCCACTTAGAATGATCACTTTGATGGAGTTGTCCGATCTACTTATTGTAATGACACAGTCAAAATTTATTAGCTGAATGAACTGTTTTTTTGCTGTCATCCCGTCCCAGAGGATTTAGGCACGATGGCGATTAGATTGAAATCAGTAGATTAAAGCTTAACGGAAGAGTTTTACCGCCGACTGCATTGAAGCGTAATTACACTGCGACTTTTCCAGAAGATAATCAGTATTTTGAATAATACTGACTTGCACAGACAAAAAGATGAGTTAGGAGCAATGGGTTTCAAACATATCTCACACTAGTTGTATGGACATTTTGGACCTATTGTAAGGTTCAATCAGTAAACATAGCTTATGTTTGTAAAACTTTATCTATGGCTTTCCTAGGCTGTTCTCCAAACCATATATTGCAGCTTCCAAGATTAAAATCATGTATCAGATTGAATAACTGGTTTCAATAAACAGGAATTAGAAATTCTCTGCAATGAATTTTCGTACTACCTATTTAATGAATTGAAACTATTTACATCTATGCCAAAATCTGTATTGTTTATGACTGACGGAATAACTTAGAAACATCATCATGTTTCTATGAATCACATGAATTAATGAAGTCCCAAAAGCCCTAGTTAGGAAACAAGCAGTAAAATCAGTGATTTATTAGTCTGAAAAATTTGCACCCCCCCAAACTAGTCAAACGTCACTCGTTTATTGACCAGATTCTATTATGTAAAAAGTTGATGTACCAGCCATCATTACATGCTTAAAATTTAAAGGTCACAATAATAATTAGATGAGATCAGTTTATTACTCACCACAAATGATAATGACTGCTTGTAACTGTCCGTGTACTTCTCAGATATCCAATGTTTGGCTACGAAGTTTGAATATTGATTTGAGTCTGCTGACTAACATAGACAGTATAGTCCACTTAAAAAACCATTTCATATGTATTTTGCTGACATTATGTTTACTTGCTTGCTTGCATCTGTTATCCCTCATGGAGCATATGCTTGTAGTGGGTGTCGAGTCGAGGACGGACTATGGTCACCACTACTATTCGATTACGCGCTTAACAACGACTTGGTTCCTTTGATAACTCGTAAATCAGAAGGCTTTAATTAGTCCAGATCAAGTATATTTATTGGCGATCTCGTGGTATCAATAGAATACCGAGACGTGCCAACGGGTACAGGCAAAATGGGCAGAGCGTAAGAAAGTTCGAACCGAACAAGGTGGATAGCGGAACAAGAAGTGAGTCTGATACAGTTAAACAAATACAGTAAAACATTCACTGGTACAATTGGTTACAATAATAATAATTGTTTCTATTGTTCCAATCGCGTTCTTATCGAGACTGGCCGGTCACTACAGGAGCCCCCCGCGAGAAAGGGTTTACACTTTCGATACGTAGCGGTTTCGTTCGTGGGACTGATCGTGAAACGTGCGATTGTAGGACGAAAGCGTTGGCGGAACAGGAAGCGATCGTTGATCTTCGATTTGCCACCAAAGGTCTTTGACGGAGAACGGTACCAGGAGGAAACGTACTGTATTGATTGCTTGGGTTAGCATGCTACACCAGAATGGTTTGTACCCAGAATCTGAAGACTGCGTTCGTAGAGGTCCGGACCAGAAATGCTGCAGACGTAGGACGAAACCAGATTGAACCAAGGAACCAGATGCGACCAGAATAACCAAGTTCGGGACCAAATGTATACCATACGTATTTAGAGCCAGAGAGATCGACTGAGTGCGTTGACTAGAGTGTGGGTGATCAGGCCAGCTTTCGCCAAGATTGACTGAAGTCGACGATACCAATACGGCGATGGTCGGAGGCGTAGGCTCGGGGTAAACAAAAAAAAATGAGAGAAAAAGAGAAAAGTGTAGCATTCGTGTAGTATGGAGGTAGGGTCCTATACTGTATCCGCTGCTGATTATGAGGTTAGTTGCGAAAGCGTACGGGTAAGCGTACTCGGCGACCGGAACGTGAGACGGTAGTCTCGTTCGAACCTCGTGAGCCTGAAATCTCATCCGCAGTCAAGGGCGGTGTGGTCTGCTGGTCTGGACATGAGACGGAAGTCTCGTCCGTAGACGGGCCAGATGACACTTGCTGTTGACTGGGACGTGAGAATGAGGTCTCAGGTGCATCTAGCGTGGGATCCGAAGTAGATGTAGAGATCCCGCTAGAAGCTTTGATGGGTCTAGCATTGGGTCTCGGCTTATCAGGTAGGGCACTGTCATCGACGTGCGCTGGCATGAGACGATCAATGCTGACTACTTCGACGCGGCCACGTCGATCAACCTTGAAGGTCTTTTCGTGACGGGAAATCACGTGAAAAGGGCCTTCGTAAGGCTGTTTGCTCAGATTGACCGTAAGTTATCGTGTACCATGGTTAGGAATGACTGAGTCATCCGCAGCGCGTAGTCGAAACATCATAGCTTGAGACTTACTGTTACTGATAGGTACGACAAAAACTTGGGCACCTGTATCCACTAAGTACCTAGCGTTAGTGCGATAATCGTGCACATAAAATAAATGGTCAAACTGAGGTGAAGGGCCAGTGAGTACGGCCGTATTTACTCAACTGCTCGAGAAGTTCCCGCCTTGTATGAGCAGGGAGCTCGACAATAACGGGCACTGGCCCCGAAGGCACGGTGGAACCAGCATCAACTCAGACTCGCTTCCGAAGCCGCCTTCTGGAGTGGCTTCGAAGATGCCCGCTTGAGGCGAGTCGTTACGGCTTCACGAGATCGTGACCTGGGTCGGGGGACGTAGGAGTCTGGCAATTTTGAACGGTCTCGAAAACTGAGACGGGTGTGGATACATTTATCCCTATCCCCATGAGCCGAAGGTCGTCTAGCATCGAAATCAATGTTTGAACGGGAAGTACAGGCAACAACATAGTTGTCTTTGGCGCTAACTCGTGCTAGAATTTTGTCTGCTATGAGAGCCACCTTGTTGAGTGGGGTGTCCTCGAGCAGAGCCGTAAGAGTTGGTTGGATACTCGCTGGTAATGCTTCGAACCACAGCTCTTTGACTATCTCGGAGTCAGCTGTTGTGTTTCCTGCAAGAGATTGCAGGCGCGTGAGGTGGTGGCTCGGCTTAGCATCACCCATAGGGTGACGTGCTAATAGTGTCCTCAATCGTTCCTCTCTTGAGGAGAGGAAATGTCGAAGGATTGCATCCTTAAGACGGTCGTAAACGTTTGGAACGTTCGGATTGATGATAACCTTACGAACAGCGGTTAAATGGTCCCCGGGCAATGACTCCAGAGCGTAGGCGTACTTCTGCCTTTGATTGGTTATGCGGCGATCTCGAATTGAGATTCCAGTGCCGCGAACCAGACTTCTGGATCATGAGGGATAAATGGAACCGGTCGAAAACTAATAGCCTGTACCTCGGAGTCTATTATATTTGTGCTATTCTTATCGTTATCCACCATATTAAGTTGCCAAAATATTATATATTGAAAAATATCAATACGAATATGTGCAACAGACGTGGATAGAGAAATAGACTCATCGAATTGATCTGGGTTGGAAAGTTGACCAAGTTTGAATTGTGCTCGATGAATTGAGTTACCAGTTGTGGTTCACCAGATGTATTGCGTGTTCCAAATACGGCTCACCAGATGTAGTGGGTGTCGAGTCGAGGACGGACTATGGTCACCACTACTATTCGATTACGCGCTTAACAACGACTTGGTTCCTTTGATAACTCGTAAATCAGAAGGCTTTAATTAGTCCAGATCAAGTATATTTATTGGCGATCTCGTGGTATCAATAGAATACCGAGACGTGCCAACGGGTACAGGCAAAATGGGCAGAGCGTAAGAAAGTTCGAACCGAACAAGGTGGATAGCGGAACAAGAAGTGAGTCTGATACAGTTAAACAAATACAGTAAAACATTCACTGGTACAATTGGTTACAATAATAATAATTGTTTCTATTGTTCCAATCGCGTTCTTATCGAGACTGGCCGGTCACTACAGGCTGCCAACTACGATTCTCCAACCAACTATGTCCTGAGCTCCTCTTTCCAGCTGTTTTCAAGTGTTATTCATTCTTTTGATATCTGTCTCTAATTCTTGGCTCAATATGTTTTTCGGTTTGCCTCTTTCCCTTTACTTTTGAGGATTCCAAGTTAGGATGTACTTTGTGATGCGGTTTGATGAAAGCATAAAATTAAAGTCTATAAAAAATGTTTAATTTGTTGTGCCGTGTTTTATTATTAGTTCACCCTGATAACCGTCATGGTACAAGTCTTAACGGCGCATAATATCAGAAGGCAATGGGAAGCGGCAACTACATTTTTATTGATAAATGATGCAGACCAGAAGGTTATAAGCACACGAGCAAATGTTAGCGAGCAAAGCATAAATGACATGCGTTGGAGATGGTTGGGAAGCCAACTCATTTTAAGCAAGCGTTAATCAACATTTATAGTCAGACAAAAATGAATGACAGACATATGATGAATAAGATACGAAGTGTGCATACACATACGCTCATATAAAAGAGTAGTCAAGATTAATAAGCGAATAATTAACAAGATCAAAATATGATTCATAATGTATAGGTGAATTTGCTTCGTCAGTAGCTAGAATAAAGTATATGGGCTTAACATAACAACCGATACTACAAATTATTACGATCGTCGATATATTAGTTACGCTAGTAAAAGATTCCTTCAAAAGACAAAGCATAATCATTTAGTAAAAGAATCCACCAGAAGTTCACGTTCATTTGTGCATTGATCTCTAAAAAGTCGAATTTTGGCTAGCTAGTTGTTTACTGCCATGTCGATGAAATTTTATAGAATTAAAGTAAATAATTAGATATGCATCTTATTCCCTAATTACTGTTACATATCTCATTTATTCATTTGATGTGTTATTTAGACCCCGGTAATTTTCTTTCTGTCTTTCATTTAGAAACGATGTCGTCAAGAAGTAGTAGACGAGGTAAGTAAAATGACTTTTTATGCTAATGGAATACTGAATTTTCGGTGATCTGTTCTAAAAAAAAACTTTGAAGAGTCTGGTGATATAATTCTATATGAAATTTTTAAAGTACATACACTTGAATACCAAAGTTGGTTGAGAATCACACGCTGATTTCATCCAAGTTTAGTCCTAACTTAAAATAGTTTATCAGAGTTCAAGATCTTGTAGTAGTGTAATTCATGAAATCGAACAAGTCCATAAAAAACAGATAGCAAAGTCTATATCAGATGAACAAGGTGATTATCAGGGATTTAGATAATCTTAAAATCAACACTATATACCGCTATTTACTAAGATCTTTTTTTAATCAGTCATTTAATTCAGTAGTGATTACTACAAACATTCAATATTCCAATTTCTTAAAATAATAACTGTTATCAAGTAAATCACAAAGAAAACTGAGAAATTAAAAATTTTATGCGTTAAATGTGGCTTGAGTAAGTTTAAAAACAAAACAAAAAATACTTTTCTTATGATATTTGTAAAGTAGTTCGAGAGTATAAGTACAAATCAGAAAGCTTATAAATGTCTATGAATAAACCACCATTTTCCATACCCTTCTTTGGAGGAATTTTTCTTAACCACTTTATCTGGTACCTATAAAGAAACAAAACTTTAATGGAGATTTTAGTAGGTATTTGCTTAAACTAAAGGTGTTTTTCATTATGGACTTTCAACAGCTAGAAAAATCTGAGTTCATACTCAGCGGTCCAATAGTATCATGCTTCTTTATAGACTGGAACTCGTTTGTTTTAAACCTAGGTAGTGTCATAAAAGTATACCAATGGGAAGTTCCAAAGTATAATAAAATAACTGTCCATAGCTCCCTGATTTTCAGTGGATCTCTTGATAATATTAGTTTATGTTGAAAACTACATACAGTTTGGTATTCAAACAGCATCCGAATCAAACTATGTTTCCTTTAGATGTGGTAGATAGGATTTTTTATATTCTTTTGTCATCAATGATTATTGTAGTAGTCACAGTTATTTATGAAATAATTGAAAAGCTTACATTGTGAATAACTTCAACTCTTTGAAATTTAAATGTACATTAAGAATCCTTTACTTGTTCACTCGTATCTCAGAAAGCAGTTGATAAGTTTTAAAAGCTTTGAACATTTACAGCTGTTATATTCGATAGTCATTAAAGGCCATAGAAAATGTGTAATTATTGAACATACGTGTTATTAATTCCCATCCATCAACGCTGTTTATTGTATACCCCAAAACGATCGATCACTTAAATATTATTCTCACCTATTCCCAAAACTAGTTATTTAACCAACATGAAGTCTAATTAAACAGTCTATAAAATTCTACACTATTCGTAGTTAAAAACTCATCTGATTATACACATAAAGTAAACGACTGATGCACCACAAGTAAAAAATTGCAATATGTAAAAAAGGTGGACATTTATGGTAAACTAAGTTTTAGATTTATGATCAATTTGCTGTAATCCATGAACTGTAAGAGGCATCGCAATGGTTAATAAATAAGATAAAGGCTTAATATTAGAAAGACATTAAAATTTCATAAATACACAGTAAGCATATATAAAATGACTTCCCAGCGAAAGACTCCCGAAGCTTCGTGGTTTTATGTATTCACATCGTCTTAGTAATATGAATGAAGAGTCTTTAAGCTTCATGAAATGAAGGTTGATTTATTTTGTCAATTACTAATGGCTATCAAAAACAATAATAATATGATTAAAGCATTCAGTATAAACAGTGTTATTTCAATTTATTTCTAAGAAATAAATGACCAAATATTAGAAGTACTACTTCAGTAAAAATCACTACGAACACTGAAACTAATGCCAAATTAAAAGCGAAGCAAATTTCCTTGCCTTCATTGGGTAGTTATAATCAAATACCGCAACGTGAAGTAAATATTTTGATACTACCGTATTGACGTTATTGTGGTGTGGTCTACTTATATACATATAAGTAGTATATGGTGTGGGTCAGACATAGAATGTATTTTGGCAGAGGACCGATGAGGAAAGAACTGAAACGAAGCGCAATCGGAAGGAAAATGCATGAGCAACGGAATTAGAGAAGAAACAATGAAGATTGAAACAATTGGTTGTTAATTTGCAAATTGACTGTTCATTGTTTGGTTATCAGAATTTACTGAGATAGTCTGTAATTTTTGCTTAAATACATTCGATTGTCCCCAACCAGTGTTCTGTTCACAACATTATAAGCTAAAACATAAGCATATCTCTTAGCATAAGATAATTCTTCTCTATTGTACTGATATACTTACAATTTTATCGGTTATTTTTTCTTAAGATTCAATAAATGAAGAATTGGATACGGATAAAGGTTAGTTTGACACCAATATTTGAGATAATAATAATAACAATAAGATTTATTACATTGGTTTCTTAAACATTATAATAATTAGTTATGGTTAGACTCAGTGTTTATTTTGTAATTTTTGAGGAAGATTGTCTTTCTTAATGATGGATTCCTTTAAACATGTAAAGTTAGTTTCATGGTATATCGACGATTCGTTTCAATGAAGCTACTTAGAGGAAAAATGAAATACAATATTGTGTTGTTTGTTTCGGTTTCAATATTCAGTTTACTGAAGGATAAACCTGATCAGTAGTTGGTCCCTGAATACTAAAATGGCTAGCACATGGTGTGTAAAACATACTTCCATCTATTATTAGCCAATAGTATCTGATAAGAATCGCAAAACAACGTGAATAATATACCATGACTTGTATTAATAAGCTGTTCTGTATACCTTCTATTACGTATATCTACAGTCTAAAAGACAATACATCCATTTAGAAGGATTATCTTTTAGAAATAATGTTAAATTTAAAGATTCACAAATTATCGAATCACTCGATATTTGTATATTAGAATTGGAACAAATAATGTTAAAAATAATAAATTTATTTTTTGTTATATCCTGATGAGTAGAAAAAAATGCATTACTGATGTTTCGTGACTTAATGTAAGCTACTTCTTCAAAGTAAATAAATAACCGTATTCAGTCATCTATTAACTTTCTACCCAATGCTCAATTTATTTGGAATCAGAGGGGGTTTTGTGGAGAATTTAGTATTTTCACAGTTGAAATCACTCATTTGGAATCATCAAGTCCAACCTTGGCACTGATATCTACAAACAAAGTTTAACTTCTAATCGATTCCAAGTGTTTTACAGTGTAAATAGAAGTGATAACAATACTTCGGTGTTAAATCATTGAAGCGACAATAAATCATTTGCCGATAGAAATAAATTATTTTTATTGACAGACAACGTCTACCAAACTAAAGATTCTAGGATAGCTGGGAATATTTTCCATTTTTAATTAAATTCCATATTGGTAAAATACAGTTGTACTTTTAAATGAATCTTTCAATTATTCAATGAATCGAGTATACACTTTAACTATACCATAACTATTTAATTATATCATATAAGTAACAGATGAAAGTATTTCTAATTTGTTTTATCTAAAAACTCTTTACCGCACTAAGTTGAACATCCACACTTCATTAAGTATTCTAAAACAAGGACAGGATAGTCATTTATCTATGTTTGTGATAATTAGATTGTTATTTTTTCCTCTCTTACTCTTAGATCACATTTTATGGTTAAACATATGATAGATCTTTTTTGACGGGGTTTTGTTTCCTGAGCTTGATGGTTTGGTGGTGAAGCTTTCACGTCCTTCTGAACGACATCATCAGCGCCACCTGAGCCAGAAATCTTCTCCACTATCTCAATATGATAGATCTTTCTATGTCGTGAAATATAAGTAAAATTAGTGCAAAAATTGGACATAAAATAGTTTACAAACATTAAGATTGACATTGTCTAAACAAATTAGGCATCACTAGTTTGTACACTGTTAGATGACTTGATTAATTTTAACCAATACATAAGTAAATTATAACTGTCATTACTTTACCATCATAGAAAGTCATGTTTCTTTGATCTATTTTTATCCTGGTATTATTCATTTACAATTAACAAGTATTTAAATCATTACTTAATGTTTTAAAATTTAGATCACTCATATGAAGTTAAAGAAGAGCAAGGTAGGCACACCTCAGCTTATACCCTATATATTTAATGTACTTTAGATAAGTCACTTATAAAATTACTTTTCGCATACTAGAATTGTGTTTTCTCATGTGTGTACACAAAAACAACATATTTAGCAATTAGAACTAGAAGTTGATCAAGGTTATACAGTGATGAAGATAACAATTATGTAGGAAGGATTTTGTAAATTATTCATAATTTTTTAACGAGAAAACGTGAACTATGGAATGACAGCTTGGGGATATCACAAATCGACTGATATTAAATATGTAAATCATTGGATAATAAACCAGTGGTTTAAAAGTAACAGGCCCAACATGAATCCTGAAGGTCTATTGTCAGAATGATCTTATGGTCTTTGGTGTTCACTATTGAAAATCTCATATTAAGAAGCTACCATAACCGTTTTCTGAAGTTATTATTGAGTGTCTGTTTTTATTTATGTTCCATACGCCCTTGTATTTCACAGCTTTTGAAAGCTGATAAATCATCTTGAGCAAGTTGTTATCCTTATTGATTCTTAGCTGTATTTCAATTTACTTTTAGTTATTTATTTTAAACAACCCTGTTTGATTTAGACGCCTTTGGAATATAAAACATTTCAGTTATTTAATTGTACTACTTAGATAATAGCGGCTTAGTTAATCACGTGCTAATCTTATACATACATACTGACTAAAGTAAGTTAAAATTAGGTAAGGTCGTTAAAAGTAATCTATTCAAAGAAACAGATTTAAGTAGGAAATTCATCAAAATTGTATGGAATATTCAAAATAAAAACTCACAATTTAAGTAGTTAAGTATTATATAAGTAATTTTTATTATAATCTACACAAATCTTGTCAAATCTAATTAATAATTCTAAAGTAATCAGTTTAAATGAACATTATCTGCTTGATTATTACTAACGATTGTTTTTTTAAAAGATTATATTTTCAATTCACTTAGTATTATTTGTTTAAATCTTCCCATTGATGCTTAGGACTGCAACTGGTCAGTCTCTTATTGGCATATGTGCATACTGTGCGTATTGCCTCGATATCGCCTTAATTCACAAGCATTATAAGCAAAGATGGATAGTGGCTAGCAGTGGAATCCAGGACGCGCGTTCCGTCCTATTTGGGACTCGTCAGCCGGATGTACCTGCATCTCAGAGTTGATGTTCACTCTGGGATTCGAGCTCAATACAAGCACAAGCAAGTGGCTATCAGGACTCAGTAGCTGAGTAGATAACAAGATGGCGTTTAAAGAGAAAGGTACTGGGCTCGAATCCCAGAGTGAACATCAACTCTGAGATGCAGATACATCCAGCTGACTACATTTTCTTTATAAATAAAAGAATATATTTGTAATATCCCAATAAGTAGAAAAATTAGATTTTCTGACGTTTCGTAACTCAGTGTAAGCCACTCCTTCAGAGAATAAATAGCCAAATCCAAATTAATCCACATTTATATAGTACAAAGGACCAAAGCAAGAATATTAATAATAATAATATAAATGATAATATAGTAATGATACCTATATTCTTTTTAAATATATGTGTATATATTTATGAAAGAACCAATACTACAATCTGATCAACGTGTAGTTATGGGTAAGGCTCTGTTAGTAATTTGTGCACAAGCCAAATATTTCATTGTAGATTTTTTATAATTATACACTTTGAATTGTTCTTTGTGTGTAAGTGTAACGGTTTATATGTGCATTCTTATAATGCTTAGATTTGTACTAGTGTTTGTGTAATAGAAAATTATTAAAACTCAATTATTACAATTTACCAACTTAAAGTAATTTTTTTCTCTATTTTGCATAAACCTTCCCAACTTTAGAAGCTGAACCAGCTAGATCACAAGAAAATGAAGAAACAAAAGGTAATATTTATTTTCATTTTATGTGCATACTCTCATAAAAATGACGCTCAGTCAGTCACAACGTAGAACTTCGTACGTACGTACATCAGTTCGAGTTGCCATAACACATTAGCACAGAGATGCAGTTGTCGATTCAAATCCCATAGTGGTAGAAGTAGTAAGAGTATAAGCTAAAAAGTGTATTTAACATAATTTACAATATTGTCATAACTATGCTATATTTACATACGTATTACAAATGGTAATACTTCACATGATAGTAAGTTATTTACTATTCGAACTGAAGTTCTTGAAAGTAAATTGATTCGAATACTGACATGGTATTGTCACACATTTGAGTTGATTAATATAAAATATGCTTATTCTTTAGTGAAAGTGATCTTTTATCTGCTTTTTATTATGTATATTCTGAATTCTTGATTAAAGTTTGAGGACACTCTTTACTCTTATAGATATTCACATGATTTTTTCTTTCCAACAAACAATCAACATATATAGGGGTATGGTAAATGAGAAATGGTTGTTGTGATCCGACTTTCTGTCAAATTATAGTTTGTTAATCATCACAACATTTGAAACTATCGATCTCCATAGGTTCTTTATCTTTATAAATTATTTGTTTATTTTCCAATGTTAGTTGTATGTCCCTGAAAAATTTCAGTATTTTCATCTATCTAGTAATTGTTACAGCTGTTACCTAAATTATTAAAAATTCCTTTTATCAAACCAAACTAGTCTTTCTAAGCTGAGATGATAATCCTGGATTTTACTGCTAGCCATCATCATCTCAGCTGATAATACTTATGACTGTAGACGATATCGAGGCAATTATCATGGAATGCACATTTGCCAATGACAGACTGATCAATTGCAGTCTTAAGCATCAATCGGAAGTTTCAAGCAATCAACACAAAAAATGAATAAACATGTCTTCATTCTACAAAATAACTAAGACACATTTCTAATATCTGTTGACTAAAGAGTAACCATCAGAATCAAAACAAACCAATATAACGTTTCCTGTTAAGTATCAGTCAGCATTCTCCAACCCACTCTGTCCTGGGCCTTCCTTTCTAGTCCTATCCAGTTGTTGCTCATTCTTCTCATATCTGTCTCTATTTCTTGACGTAATGTGTTCTTCGGTTTTACTCTTTTCCTTTGCTTTGACGATTCTAAGTGAGGGCTCGACTTGTGACGCACTGTGGTTATTTCCTCAATATGTGTCCTATCCACTTCCGGAGCTTCCTCCGGATTTCTTCCTCCACTGAAATCTGGTTTGTTCTCTCCCACAGTAGGTTGTTCCTGATAGTGTCTAGCCAACGGATCTGAAGTATCTTGCGTAGATAACTGTTAACAAACACCTGTATCTTCTGAATGATGGCTTTCGTAGTTCTCCAAGTTTCTGCCCCATACAGCAGAACTGCGTTGACATTTACATTGAAAATCCTGAATTTGGTGTTGGTTGACAATTGTTTTGAGTTCCAGATCTTCAATTGTATATATGCTGCATCATATCCACCGTGTTCATCAATGATATATATATATATATATGATTTTTTTGTCCTAGAAATTAAACTTGAGTAAATTGTTATTAAACTAATAAAAACACAATCAACCTTATAGTTTTGATCTCTTAGATGCCCAATTGCAAATCAACTAATTATTTGCAAATAATTATCATTTTCTTATTGGTGTAGTCAGTCAGTCAGCTACAACGTAGGACCAGGCACATTTATGCATCGGTCCAAGTTGTCATACTTCGTTAGCACAACAAGACGAACATCAGATTCATAGAAGTAGTTAATTTTGTGGTGGTAGTATATAAAGATAGGTTGTATATAAGGATATAGTATAGGATAACTGTTATTAACTAAATTTAATTATTACATGAATTCATCTGATAATTTGAATTGAGAACAATTATAATAAGAAGATGAAGAAGACATAGTTCTGGTAATCTTCGCCTTCTTATTACACTATCTATAATTTAATTTATGACTTTATTGTTCCATGGTGAATGACTCAATTTCTAAATAAAAAGAAAACTTTTAAATTTTCGTCTGGCTAATTTATTCAGATGAAGAAAATATGTTAAGTTCACACAAAGTAAATGATGAAGAAAACATACGAGCAAGTCCTACACAATTGGAGGGGCAACAATCTGTAAACTCTGATAATAAAATACAACATGAAGAAAATGAATTAACCGAAACTGTAACTGATACAATGCCAACAGAAGAAATTGTAGAAAACACTGAAACAAGTAGCTCTAGTTCATCAGGTAGGAAATAAGTCAGGAGTAGTTTTTGAATACAAAGAACGGTAATGATTTATCATTACGATGATTTTTATAACAACTTCTTATTGTTCGGGATGTTAAAAACAGAGTAGAATATCAACTGTCAATATCCGTACATTTAACATTAAATAAAAACCGAAATCTTTTCATTGTTACACTATAATTTGAACCCAAATGAGGTCAAAATATAGTTATATTCTGTACTATATTTTAATTGATCGCTCCTGCAGGACTCTTAATTGCGGGCTGAAGTCATTGTTGTTCAATAAAATTGAGATAATTAATTAAATAATTAATAATGCACTCACTGTTATCTAACTTCTAGACCCACAAGGTCTAATTATGCGAGGAGTAATAAAGATATCACCAAAAGAATCAGGCAACAAATTAATTCAATGATAAGTCAGACAAATTCACCTTGACCAAAAATAACTTGACATTAACATTATTCAAGCCTATTATGATTTTGATTGTACTGTTTTACATTGTTTCCTTAGTACTATTTAAACTTGTGTTAATTTAATTCGGTTATTTACTTACTCTCAAAAAGTGTCATACATTAGGTGACAAAACGTTGGCATTACAATTTTTCTACTCATTGGGATATAACAAACTAACTTTCTGTAGATACATGCATAATCATTGAAATATCAAATAAGAATAATTTAACGCTATACCATGTGAGAATATATTTACGAGAAAAATTATGTTTCATGGAATGAGCATCTCTTTAATGGAATATTATTAGATCAATATAACTTGTATCGAATGGACTATTATGGTACTGATAGATTCTCTTCATTATGATATATCTTTCCGATAAACAAAAGGAAACACTCATTAATGAATGCCTATTTCGTCATATTGTGTACTAAGCCTAAATCTCCTTAATTAACAACAGAAAATTGCAAAATGAATGGTTGTGTTGCTTTGATTTTAACCCAAAGTTTATAATCCTTGTTTTTTGGTACGGTTGAACTAAAGGTGGGGTTCACAAAACTCAAGGTAAGTGAAACTGTCGGAAGGGTATGCCTTGTGAAAACCAATTATACTTCAACTCATATTATTTTATATTATAACACCTATAAACTACCAAGTTATAAAACACTTCACAATTGTTCTATTTAGCCTAAACACTGGTTTGTATTACAACACTCATTTAAGGTCTTCCATCTGATATACACTTTTATGTCAACATCACTGCATGAATTATTTGTTTCATACTTCAAACTGTATAATTTATTCTGAACTTTGTAACGTCATCACGAAATGCGAAAATTTTTTACAAAAGTTTATTCATCACATATTTTATAAACTCTTATGATGATGCACCACACATTTGTTACACGTCATGTTTTCTTTTATACTTCTGTTATATATTTCGTTGTTGTACTGAGTTAAACAACACTGACATTTAAGTATTTTCACTGTCGTACATTTTATCAAGCACAACTGTTGGCAATGTAAGTATGTGAAGTTTGTTTTAACATCGTTAATTGGATAAATTAATGATTTGAGACTAATTTATGTGTAAGTGGTTTGTTAATCACTTGGTTTACTAAAAACTATACCCTAAATCTAAACCATTTTATAAGTTCATTTTAAGTCTAAACCTATCTACTTTTTAACAATAACCTTGTCACTTTATTATCTGATTTCTGAAGAAAACTATTCAGGTTTTATATAGTTGAGATCATGAGTCAATTGAAGATAGACCACCACGGAAAATCTGGAAGCACTGGACGGCCGTTTCGTCCAATTGTGGGACTCATTAGTAGTGCGCATCCAGGATCCCGCCTCGCAAGATTCGAACCGAGGACCTACCAGTCTCGCGCGTGAGTGCTTAACCACTAGACCACTGAGGTTTTGACAAATAAAAACAGTCTAGCTACAAACAAAAAATCAGCAAAGCATTCTACAACTGTATCTTCATATTTACTGATTACTTCAATTTATAATACTCAGTATCTTTTCTGCGAAATTAGTTTATTAAGATTCAAGAGTTCGAATGAGCATTGCTTACCTCTTCTACTTCTATTTTATTTAAAAACGAGTCTATACTTAATCTACAATTAAGTGAAAATTGGATGTAGACCTATTGTTATATTATTATAGGTCAAGGATAACTATTCAATTATAAAAATGTTACAAATATTTCTGAACTTAGTAAATGAATGAAATAAACAGTAAAATGAAAGTTTACCAGCTATATGACAAATACACTACCTGCTTTTAAAATTGATAAATATAATAATGTACTACTAAAATCTAGTTTTGACTCGTTACTAATCTCCTGAAGTTGATACAAGTCTTATCCAGTCGCTAATTACTAACTCTGGAATCTATCCATGGTTGTCACAGTTGAAACTGTTAAATTATAAAATGTAATAACTCATAAGTTAGTGCTAAGATTTCATGTTTGCTAATTAATTGTTTAAATAAAACATTTATCAGTTTGAATTAAATCTTATGTTAATTTTACTTTATAGATACATAAATACTGAATCACTGGGAAAGATTAAAATGATTTTGTTTACCTTTTGATCCAAGATCAAATGTACTGCAATTCAGTTGCCATTTATTATAATGAAGATCAAAAAAAGAAAAAAAATGGTTGTAGTTTATTTTGATGAATTAAGCACAGAGTGCTGTTATTGTTCTAATGTTTTGCCAAAAGAAAATATTTTTTAGATTCTCCTCTTAACCAATGTGTCATATTGTTTCTCATAAGCTTTCAATCTTTGTAATCTATTAGGTTTTGGAAGTCGATTTTAAAATATTTACTTTTCAATGAATTTAACTTTTGTATAACGACTTACAGTTTGGACCATTGTATAGTGGACTAACTTGTTGATTGTAATTGAGAACAGTTCATCAAACTTTTTTTAAAATCCAAGAATTTTATGCGAATAAGTCTGTAGGTTGTTTTTATCATAAACTTAATGTAACTGTGTTCACTACTTTGTCAAGTCTCAAACATATTTCGTAATTTATTAACTTACTCCTGTTACCCCGGGTGTAGTATAGGCCGCTCATCAGCACGCTACATCCAACTCAGGCCTGAGAAATCCTTTCAAGTTGTTTCTAGTTGCTATTCATACTATTCATGTCTGCTTCCAAATCCCGAAGCAGTGTGTTCTTTGTCTCTCCCCTTTTCCGCTTACCTTCAGGATTCAGAGTTAGCGCTTGCTTCGTGATGCAATTTGACGATTTCAAGAATGAATGGCCTATCCACTTCCAACGTCTTTTCCTAATTTCCTCCTCATCTGGAAACCGGTTTGTTCTCTCTCACAGTAGGTTGCTGCCGAAAGTATCCGGTTAACGGACATTGAATATCTTACGTAGACATTTGTCTATAAATACTTGTACTGTTTTGATTACAGTTGTAGCAATGCTGGAAGTTTCAGCTTCGTACAATAGAAACGTCTTGATGTTCGTATTGAAGATTCTAAATTTGATATTGATTGACAGACAGTTTTTTGGAATTCCATGTGTTCTTTAGTGGTAGGAATGTAGACCATGCTTTGCTAATCCTTGTCTTTACATCTGTATCAGATCCTCCTTATTGATCGATGATTCTGACCAGGAAAATGAAAGTTTCCACCTCTTTCAAAGTTTTTCCATCAAGTGTGAATGAGTTGATGCTTTCTGTGTTTTATTTGAGGATCTTGCTTTCACCTAAGTGTATGTGGCGACCCACTGCTGTGAAGTCCGCTACTGTACCGTCTGCCTTGACCTGCACTTGTTGATGTTGTTGACAAATGATGAGTGTTCTGAATGCGGCCCACCAATTTTGTGAGGCCTAAGATCTGATTCCCAATTAGATCGCATGAATGATTGTTGTCAAAATATACATCCTGTCTATCCACGTATGTAATAAATGACTTAATCCGCGTTGGTGAGTAACGGAGTTAAATAAGTCAAATACGAGAATAGATTTTGAATACATATATTTTGAACACTCATTGATATGACAGTGAATCAGATGGATGAAGTGAGTAGAAGAGAGCGAAGCGAAAATGACGCACATTGGAGATGGCGGATAAGCCAACTCGCTGTTATCAAGCGTTAATTAATATTTATAGTTAGATAAAAAATAAGTTACAGACATGTGATGAATGAGATAAAAAGTGTACACACGCATACGCTCATATAAAAAAATAGTCAGGGTTAATAAGTGAATGATTAACAAGGTCGAAACATAACTCAAGATAAATAGGTAAATTGACTTGTCCTGAAGCCATAATATGGTATATGGGCTTAACATATCAACCGACACTACAATGTGAATGGGATAGAAGGGCCTGATCATCTGTGGATTCCAAACCATCTAGTTGCATCCAGGCTGTCTGTTGTATTCTACGCTTCCCTCAGACATGGAGGCCTTCATAATCCAGTCGGTCACTAAAACAAATATAAAGGGAGAGAGTATGCAACAATATCTGACTCCGGTCATCACTTGGAATGCATCTGCTAGCTGTTCTCCATGCTCGACTCTGCGATGTATTTAGCCCTATTAATTCAGCATAATTTTAACGATTTTCTCAGGTACACCATATTATCAAAGAGGGTTTCATAGAATTCTTCTATCCAAACTGTAAACTGCTTTCTCATAGTCAAGGAAGTTGATGTACAGTGACGAATTTAATTCGAATGGTTGCTCAACAATGATCCGTAGTGTCGCGATTTGGTCTGTGCACGAACGATCCTTACGAAATCTGGCCTGTTTATCTCGAGGTTATGCGTCTAATGAATCTTTCATTCGACTTGAAAATACTGTTGAAAACGTTTCCTGGCGGTGATTGTAGTGTGATGCCACTGTAGTTAGTTCTCATATTTGCTGGGATCTTTCTTTGGTATCTTAATGAAGTATCCTCTTTTCTAGTCTATAGGCACTTGACCGCTTTTCTGAGTAGAATGTCGAGCATCCACGTGTGACTTCAGTGCTTCATCTGAAATGTTGACTGAATCTGCTGCTTTCCCACTCTTGATTTGTCTGACGGTCATACTGATTTCTTCGGTCGTTGGTGGAGTGACACCTATAGAATGGTCTGTGTATACTGCTTCGGGGTCTGTTGGGTTCAGTGTGACTGATCCATTCAAAAGCTCTTCAAAGTGTTCTACTAACTTTTGGTCCGTGACTGATCTCTGGTTTACTATATTTCCCTTCCAGTTTCTTCTTTGTGTCATATAGTCGTTTTATATTTCCTTCTCTTGAAGTTTTTTCCGCTGTTGTTGCTAGCTCTTCCACATATTTTTGCTTGTTGGCTCCAATGTTCTTCTTCACCTGCTTGTTTGCTTCTGTGTATTAAGAATGTGCCTTGACTTTCTATGTTCTTGTTCAACCGTTGTTAATTTCTGTCTTCCTCTTATTCTTTTTTTCTTTAATCTTCTTCATGGCTTTAATAGAGATCTATTTTTTGTGATGATGCTTGTTGCGGCCCAGCTCCACCTGACACGTTGAAGTTAATGCTTCTTTGACCACTTTCCAGTTGTCTTCCATAGTGGTTTCTTCTTCTCTGATTAGATCTTGTAAGGCTTGGAACTTATTGTTGAGTGTTATCTTGAATTTGTTGATTTTGTTAGTATCTCGCGGGAAAGCTGTATTAATTCTTTGTACTGCTGTTCCCCCAGTTTGTCCTATGTTTCCTTAGCTTCAGTTTTATGTTGGCAACCATCAGGTGGTTATCTGAAGATATATTAGCTTCTCTCCTGGTTCTCATATCTTCCATAGACCTTTTGAATATTTTAGTGATTCAAATATAGTCTATCTGGTTCTCCGTGATGAGATCTATGTTGCTTTTTGTATGCGGTTGTGGAGGAATATTACGCTGCCTGTATTCATTTTGTTGAATGCATATAAATTTGTAAATCTGTCACCATTCTCGCTCTTTTGTCCCTGGCAGTTCATGAAGTCCCATGATATCTTGACACCCGGTGTTGTCCATCCCGACTTTGGCGTCTAGGTCTATCATCAGGATGTCCGGATCCTTTCCTGAGCACTTCACCATGGTTGAACGCAGCCTCTCATAAAACTGATCTTTATTGTCGTCGTTGCTATCATTGGTGGGTGCATAGCACTGGATAAGATTCATTGTAATCCACTCGTTCTTTGTTTCGAAGGATGCCTTGATGATTCTGGGTCCATGAGATTCCCATCCTAAAAGTGCTATTCTTGTTTCTTTGGACAGCATCAGTGCAATTACTTTTGTGTAGAAGGTATTTTCTTCTTCATCACCAGATTACAACAGCATCTCTCCCGAATCTAATCTTTTCTGTTCAACTTGTGTCAAATAGGTTATACTTATTCCGAGCACCGCCAAATTTGTTCTCCTCAAACACGTGGAGGATTACATTTCTAGGTATTGTTTTGCTGTGTAACTTTCGTACCTACAGAAATTCACACAGATCAAATCACTACAGTCTACTGTTCACGATCAGTGTAACTAAACTGTTTAAAAGGATGACAAACTTTTAAGTCTCTAAATCTGTTCATGTCTAGATGAGCTCTGTCAAGAAAACATAATACAGAAATGCTATTTGAATTCTTGAACCTCTAATTTCAATCAAATTCATGTTTTGCACTTGATTAAGTTGTTGATTATAAACTAAATATCTAAGTTGAAGATGTTGTGTTATATCATAGAGAAGACATAAGTACAGGTAACTTCCAGGACCTATTAATGGACTATTTTTCTATATATATTTTTATTGTATAACTATTAAGTAATTAGATTGTGTTTATCTATTTTCATCTGATTACAAGCATTTCGACCCATAAATTATTGTTATACAAATTACTGTTCGTAAATTATACTCAGTTTATTGATTATTGTCTCCCACGTTCACAGCCACATTTGGCTTGGTCTTGTAAAAATATTATTTTCTATTTTATGATGTGATGCGGTCTGTCTGTCTGTCTAGCATATAAACCAAGTGTGCTTGAAATAAATGATTCACATAGCGGAAGTTGTAATTGGTGTTCTGGACTCGATTGGAAGGGCTAGGCGGACCAATAAGGACGCTATACTGCTCATACCGGTTGGACATCATTTGTTTGACTAAGTGCTAAGATTGGAAAAGTCGTATTTCAATTAGTGGATAAATCACGTGATAAAAAGCCGGGAATAAAGTCACGACAAATTGTCAACGGCCTTATAAAATCATAACAGTAAGTGTTCTAGGAATATTTATGAAAATAATGATGCACTATCTGTCAGCACAAATCCAAAATTCTTAACTGTAGTATTAATATAAAACTGAGAATAATGCTTGTCAACTTGTTCGGTGAAGGCTAGTTTTATAGTTTGCGATATAATGGTGTAGTGATACTTCTTACTGTTTTAAATCTTAGCTGTAGTAACTGTATAAGCTTCATAGAGTTGTACAACAAAAACACTTGAAGAATGTATTCTGTGCAATGTCATAACCGAAATTCTTAGCATTTTCAGCACCTTTCAAAATCAAAGTGATAATATTTTTTTTAAATCTCTCCAAAGCGTATTTGTAATCCTGTACAAATAGTGCTTATGGAAGTTCTTCAAATGATTTTAGTCCATCATTAGGACCGTTCTCGCAAGTCCTCATAAACATCGAATAGGATAATATTTTTATGTTTTAAGCAATGATGAATAGTGACTAGCAGTGGAATCCAGGACGCGCGTTTCGTCCTATTTTAGACTCGTTAGCTAGACGTACCTGCATCTCAGAGTTGATGTTTACTCTGGGACCGAACCTATTACCTTTCGCTTCAAACGCCATCGCGTTATCCACTTAGCTATGAATCCTGATAGCCACCTGCTTGTGCAATAGGGTGAAGTTTAAATTCACCTGGTATTGTTTGTTTGAACCTTCCCATTGATGTTTAAGCTTGCAATTGATCAGTCTCTTATTGGCATATGTGCATACTGTGTATTGCCTCGATATAGCCGTAATCCATAATTGCTTATAATGCTTGTGAATTAAGGTTTTATCGATGCAGTTCTCACAGTATGCACATATGCCAATAAGAGACTGATCAATAGCAGTCCTAAACATCAATGGAAAGTTTCAAGTAAACAATACCAAGTGCATTTTTATGGTTTGTTTTCTTAAAGTAATTTCTGGATTAGTCATAAAGTTAATGCACCGATTTAAATATGCACATGGAATTAGTTATATTGATATTTATTTCAACATACACCATATCATTCTTAGTTTCTATACTGTTCGTTTAACCTGTATTTATAGAGCCATTTACATGATAACAGAAAAAAGAGTGCTTTGTATTTCAGTACTGATTTAATCTGGTTTCTATAATGAAACTTTACTGAAATAAGCATATAGTAAAATAATTCATAACTGGTACTTGTCAAAATTAATAATTTATAGTTTTTAATACTGTAGATCCATTAACAAGTCAACTTCGATACTGGTCAGCTCTTCGTGAATACAGTGAATTCACAGTTATATTACTCTTCATTGTTTAAATGTTCTTCCAAGCCAATTCTTGAATATTTCAATGATAATAATGTACGACAGTTTGGGCAGATATTCCCGAAATCAAGCTGACATATACTACATGAATAAACATTTTCAGAATATTGAGAAGCATTCTCTATCGGTTTCTCTTCATTTGATGTATAAATTTCTTTACGGCACCAAAAACACGTAATACGTTTGATACTAAATCCTGCTAACACGTGCTTTATTTTTGGATTATTTGTAAAGCGACGATCAGGTTTATCAGTAGTGTCTCCCGATGTACGTTTGAAGTCATTAAAAAGTTTACGATTATTTTGTATACGAGCGCGTAACCATGAAGCCCGCTGATTTGATATTTTTGGATAGTACCAAATCATAATTATATGACGTAATCTCATAATATATACCTGGTACATAAAAGTAATATATATAAATTACATAATTCTAATATGATTATCGTCATTATAATAATAATAATCGCTGAACATTGTAGCCAATCGACTTATTAAAAATTCAGTCTGTTGGGCATATGAGTATCATGATGGGGAACTCTGTCTCGTTCTTTTAAATTCTACAGTAGTGAATAATTATGTTTGTTAGTTCTACTCATCATATATGACAAAATTGAGCTGTTTAAAAGACACTTATTCAGGAAATCTGTTATATATATGCAATTAAATAAATTCTTTTAAAGAATTGCGACTCAGAATTCATTTTCAATCCATCGACTACTATCAAAAACTGTTTACTGTTGTCATTTGTGTAATGGTATATAGTGATAATTCGTTTAGGTGATAGCTGTATGGTGAACATGTTTATAAGTTATCCTTTAAATATAATTGGAATGTAGATTGTGTAAAACCTATTTAAATCGATATTTCAATTACCAATCAAATAAGAATAGAGCTGTCCAGCTATTTTATTCTTCTTTTCCGAGCTTTAGCTATACATAGTCTTGCATAAGACTTATAGCATAATAAAACAGGGCAATTGAGTGTTTTCTTTCCATCCATTTTTCTTACTTGAGCGGGCTATTCACAACCCGAAAATTCTGTTTAATTCTCAGTGATTTAAGTTTGCTAAACTTGAGGATCATTGTTTTACTTATTTATTTACACCTGTTGCTCCTCGTCGAAGAGCATAGACCGCCCACTAGCATTCTCTTATCGGACCTTGTCCTGAGCAATCCTTTCTAGCTGTTTCCAGTTGATATTCATCATTCTGACTTCTGCTTCGAATTCTCAACGCAGTGTATTCTTTGGTCTTCCTCTTTTCTATTTAACTTCAGGATTTCAAGTTAGTGTTTGCCTCGTGATACAGTGTGGTGATTTTCCCAACGTATGTCCTATCCACTTCTGGCTCTTCTTGGGTTACTGCGGGTTTGAAGCCCAGGTAAAAAAAAGCTTTGGGTATGGGGTCAGCAACCCCCAAGCCCTAGAAAACAACGTTGCTAAAAAACGGTAACCAGATGTTCATTGTCTTCAGCCTTATAAATAAAACAATATGGTGTTTAGTGTTCACTCACTGGTTCTAGTAATATTTTTTAAAAACCATTTGATAGAATTTAGTCATAATAAACCGTTTTACCTATCGATAAATATTCTGCTTCTGTGGCTATTTTATGTACTTAAAGGAACATAAGAAGCGAAATTGAGCAGCCTCGCCTTTGTTTGAAAAGCATCTATGAGGTACCTTCCATGCACAGCTTTACAGTTCAGTTCATCCTAAGAGTTTCGTGCGAACCTCTCCACAATATGTTTTCTCATAATCAAGCTGATGTATAGTGATTAGTCTCATTTCATTAGCTAGCTACTCAGCAAGTCCATTATTGCTAACTAACATTACGATTAAAAGTTGAACACCAAAATGTCAACTATTAACTAACGATTTGTGTGCCAATTTATTCTCATCGCATATACTATCAATTTACATCATAAGAACTAAATTTGAGCACCGTGTAATCTTCCAATTTAAAGATTAAATTTCAAACTTATGAACTTTCCATGAATTCTGTCAAAAATCATACGTATAGTAGAAATAAATAGATTCTGAGCAATAAAATCTCCTTAAATGAAATTCACTTACACTGAACTTTTTCAAAAACTTCATCTATTCTACAATATATTTGTCAAAACTTATATAAATGAGGTAAAATCTTAAAGAATGATGCATAGATTATTATCATTGTTATTATCAGAAGAAGGTTTTGTGGAGATTTTAGTAATTTTATATAGTTGAAATCATGAATCAATTGATGCTAGACCACCATGAAAAACCTGAAAGCACTGGGCGACCATTTCGTCGTACTGTGGGACTCCTCAGCTGTGCTCATCCACGATCCCTCCTCTCGAGATTCGAACCCAGAACCTACCAATCTCGTGCCAGAGCACTTAACCGATAGACTACTGAACCGGCGAGTATCCAATGATGTTAATGTCTAACTTCAACCAGTGCTTCCAGGTTTTCCATGGTGGTCTAGCTTCAATTGACTCGTGATCTCAACTATATTATTGTTATTGTTAGGTTCACAGATCATATTTTCTTTCAATTAAATAATTACGATAGATTAAGTAGTTACACAAACATTTATATATTTCAATATGAATCATACTTACTTCAATTAATTGACTTATAATCGTTAGAACTAATAATGTTATAACGATTAAATTATTGTTGAAATCCTGTGATATTAATATTGGATGACAAACTGTAACATCACTATTAATTATTATATCTTTTGATTGAATTAATAAATCAAGTATATTTTTAACTATATTTGTATAAAATGTACCACTAACAATAATTGAATATTGTGGAATTTGATTGAATATTTCAGAACCATAATTTAAAGTATCATCATTTTGAGAAGATCTTGTTCTAGACTGACTGAAATCATTTGAAATGAATGATGTCAATGAAAGTAAAGAATTTTGTGTAACATGAATAAGTAATAAGATTATAACAATTACAACTATCCATATGTTAATCAGTGTGTTTGAACATTTCATTTTATTCTTCTCATTGTGACTCCTACTGAAACTAGTTAACATTTTATAATGTTTTGATTCATTATATGTAAGTGGAAATGTTGAAGGAATTCCTTGTAGAATTGCTTCTTTCTCCTAAATATTCAAAATACGAAAATATGTCATTTCATGGATAGATAATCATAATCTATATTCGTAAAATAGCACAAGTATATATACATGTATATAAAAGCGAATAATGTTTGAGTTAATGTTGTTGATTTTCTTTAGTCACCTATAATCTCTATGTGACAGATTTTATTCGGGAAGAATCAAACCTGACTAAATATCTTGAACTACCTATATTTGTACCCATACGTTAAGCATAAAGTGGATTTGCTTAGTCTTACAACTTATTGAGTAAAGATATTTTCTTTAAAGTCTAAAACTCTCCAGTAATTTCCGATACGTTTAATAAAGTGACTCCATTCGTCTGAAATCTATTTTAGAATATCAGCAGTAAATGAGGATATTATCGAAGCCCAAAACATGGCATGACTGAAGAATTACTTTTAACATTTGAAGATTCATCACTGATGGTGAGCGGCAAAAGTGACTACAAAACAGAATAATATCGGAAATTGTCCTGGTGAACATTGGAAGGTTTAGATTATTTCTCTAAAATCCGTGTCATTCATCAATAAAGTTTTAATGAATTTATCTGTATTACACCTCACATTCATATCACATACATACATCTTTGTTGTTTTAATGTATATGCTTTGAAATCTTTAACTGATCTAGGTTAGACCACCACTAGAAACCTAGAAGCATCGAATGACGGTTTGGTCTTAGTATGTGACTCCTCAGAAGTGCGCATCCACGATCCCACAACCGAGAATCGACCCAAGGACCTTCCTTCTCACATCGACCGTTTGACCAGTAGACCACTGAGCCAACAGCCACAACTGCATATTGAAAAAGTATATCCATAGGTTCACATTGATTACTAGGATTTTAAGTATTTTTTAACAGTTAAACGATGTTGACAGTAAAGGGGATCAACTAGCAAAGGTTATCATCAATCATGTGAATTAGAAATTGCCAAAATACTCTAATATGCTGGATCACTAGGTAACATAATCTCGAATCATAATGACTATAATGATCATGAACTAAACGTGCTAGGAAAATTGTAAATAGTAACAAAAATCTGCCTAGATTTTCTATTACAAAGATTTAGAAGTAATTTCTATGATATGAAATGAATCGCTGTTTTCATTCTTGCATTTGTGAGGGAAGATGAGTATTTTGTAGCTTCATTGAGTGTTGAAGATTCAGTGTTTTAATTATACATATATATTCATTACTTTTAAAATGCTTATATATATTGTTTAAAATATCAGTCGTGAAGAATATTAACAAGCGTTTTTGAGCCGTTAGTTAGCAAGTAGAATAAATGAGAGGATAATCCTGTCCTTCAGACAAGATTTGTTCGGTTATTATTCTTCTTCATAATTGTTTGTCCTTCTCCGGGTTAGTAATTGATAAATTTAACTGTTTGGCTTAAGACAGAAAAGCGGAAGTATATATATATATATATATATATATATATATATATCAATTTTAATAGTTTGGATCATGAGTCAGTTGAAGCTAGACCACCATGGAAAACCTGGAAGCACTGGACGGCCATTTCGTCCTATTGTGGGACTCGTCAGCATCTCTGGATGCCAACTCAGTGGTCTAGGGGTTAAGCGCTCAGATGCGAGACTGATAGGTCCTGAGTTCGAATCTCGAGAGGCGGGATCGTGGATGAGCACATCTGAGGAGTCCCACAATGAGATGAAACGGTCGTTCAATGCTTCCAGGTTTTCCATGGTGGTCTATCTTCAATTGATTTATGTTTTCAACAATATAAAATAAAATGATTATTAATTAAGATCGATCTGATCTTTTTTATTGTAAAAGTACCAGTTTACCTGTTGAATATATTCTGATGTTATATAACTATTATCAAATGTTATTTTACTTAGCCATGAATTTCTAAATATAATTGCTTTGATGATTAATTGTATCATAATCACCAATGACAATACCAATAAAAGCCATGAAATAAAAAATTTCATTTCTTCAATATAATTCAAGAAACTATTTGATTGTTTTAACTGATCTATTCCATTATTCATTTCACTAGTCAATTGATTAAATCCGTTAGAATTCATTATGTATGTAATATTATATTTTCCAATTATGTTGAATATCTTTTCCATTTCATCATTGAAATTCTTTTTATATGTAACATTAAAATGATTTAATCTAATTTCATTATAATGATCACATTCATTAGTAGATTGTTGTATAATTGAATTACATATTTGATTTTTATTCGATTTTATATATTCACACATATTACTACTTATATCTAATTCAATAGTACATGTTATATATGCTTTATTTAAAAAATTTCGACATAAATTATATAGATTATCTGTATTGTTTTTACATGAAGAGTTCTGTATAGATTCAATCCATCTAATATTATTCTTTATTATTTTCATTAATTTTAATGAAAATAATTGTATATTTGATATAATGTTACGTATATTATATAACATTAAATTAAATTCATTCAGTATATTCTCTATTGAATTGTTGAATATATTCAATAATGAATGATCCAATTTCTTTAAATTTTGATTTGTTTCTAAGGTAACACAATTTAAAAATTTTTTTAATTTTTCAAAATTATATAAAAGATTTAAAATCATATTGAATATACTTATATAAGTAGCAAATAATAATAATGACCATCTTATAGAATTTGTAACTAAATATGGTAATATTAATAATCCAATACATTGAAGGTTTGATGAATAAGCAAATACAGGAAGTATCATAATATAAGTAGTTAGTAATATTGATATATATATATTATAATTTAATATAATAATCAATAAATTATATATAATAAATCCAATTATTATACTACTTATTAATCCAAATAAATTATTATAATTTAATTTAATTAATAATAATAATAAATTAAAAATATTCCATTTAATATATTTAAATAAAATATAAATTTTATTATAAATAATTAAATATAAATTAATTAAATAATTAAGTAGTATATGAAAAATTGATAAATTTTGTAAGTCAATTATTAATTTTAATGATTTTTCTCTATGTAAATCGTTTAATCCTTCATGTTTATCAAATGTTTGATCATTAGTATGATCAATAGATTTTATTATTGTTAATTCTGTTGATATTAATGATGATAAAGAAAGATTTGGTAATTTATCAGTATTTTCATGTGGTACATTTGCATTCATAACGGATACATTATGACTACCACTATTACTACTACTACTACTACTACAACTACTGATACTAGGATGACATATACTATTACCATTATACTCATATTCTTCTGTTTTATATATAATTGATGTTTTATCAAACTCTAAAATATTTTTGTCACATTCAATTTGATTTTCATTTGTTAAATAAGATCTTGAAGTAGTCATAATTAATTGAATCTAATTAGTTGTTATTTCTGAATATATTAAGTAAAATATAAGCAAAATTTTTAAAAAAATTGATTTATATACATATATATATATATATATATAATTGAAAAGCGATTGTCTATTCAATAATTATTGGGTCACATGATCAGGCCATTATACGACTATAATAATAATAGTAATCTCTACACTAAATATTTATTTATATGACACAATAGTATGTCTGAAATGTAAACTTGATAAGAAATCAAAGATGAAGATGGATAGGGGCTAGCAGTGGAATCCAGGACGCACGTTTCATCCTATTTAGGTCTCGTCAGCTGGATGTACCTGAATCTCAGAGTTGATTTTCAGTCTGGGACTCGGACCTAGTGCCTTTCGCTTGAAACGCCATCATGTTATCCAATGAGATACTGAGTCCTGATAGCCACTTGTTTGTGCGAAGATGGTTTCACTTCTAAAAGTTGAAATTTAGAAATGTGTTATCACTGAGGGATAAGAAGACCTTGTATTTTCGTGCATAAAAGTCAAGATACATATAATTAAAATGAAAATCTATTCCAAGAGTTTCGCTTCAAATGTTTAAATTCAGTGAATAGAAAATTCTTATTACAATTCGTGAGTTTAAATCAGTTACAATATACACATGCTATCTAAAATCCTTGAACTAACCAATATGGAAGTGGGAAGAAAAATGATGGTTAGAAAGCTTTAGCCCCGAAAACCAAATAATACCTTTATGATTATATTATTAATCCATGTGAGCAGTGGCTTTGGCTACGTAAACAATTTATTTGCATCAACAGCAAGACTAGTTTGTGCCAGTAGCATTCAGACATGTGATCTCTTCGATCTTTGTAGCATGTGTCATACCAGTCTATCAGTTCTAGGTTGATTTTTTGCGCAGTTTCGAGTTCATTAATACTCTGGAACCTATGTAACAACCCTGATAAGCCTTAGTAAATCAGATACATAATATACTTCATTTTTCTGCACCACAAGGTTTATTATTAGTTAAAACTGTTTGCTATGCTCTGTAAACTTATTAGTCATTCAGAATTAATGGAACTGAGCACTACTAATAATAGATGAACTACCCAATGATATCAAAACATTCCATCTGTTTTTGTCGTTTATAATATAAAAAGTTCTAGTAAATGACGTGGAACATGACAGATAGTGATTGACGTTTACAGCCACCCATCTCACTCAAAAATCAGTGTACTTTATGCAGGGTCCTGTTGCGCGTATAATGTATATTATGAAGTCATAAAAGTTGATAAAACCTTCCTTGTTATTCTGAAATCAATAATTGTCCAAATGATTTGTTTTTATCAGATAATAGTATGACTAAGGGTGAGTAGATAAATTAATGTTTTCGAAGAAAAAGTACTTATTTAGTCAGAAGATGTGTTCACTGCAAATACATAATTCATCAGAGGAAACTTTTTGAACACCAAAGATCACTGGACAGTTGTTTATTTCCATAACGTCGTGCATCCACGGTTCAGTACGAAATCGAACACAGGATATACCGGGCTCGAGTGACACATGATATTGTTTGACAACTCTTTCGGTCTCCAGTTGCCCATATTTACTACTTCATTCAATCCCCACTATTGCTCAACTCCCATTCAATAATTTAATTGCGGAGTTTAAGGATGGCTCGTTGGCAAACTCAAGAAGCCCAGAAAGAGCAGAAGACATTCCATCTAATCACCGCTAGAGGAGCATTCTAGAATGTCGACGTGTAGCTCCCCTATTGGATGAATAAAAAGGCCCCTCTATATGCCTATTGGCTGTCCTAAATGATAATTTACTTTCAGCCAAAAACTATAAATACATGAGATTTCTGTACTATATTTGATACTGTTTGAAATAACATTCCTTCTACTTGTCTTCTGCCTTCTGATTTTGCGACTTGAGAGGGTTCTAGCGTTCGAGTGCTCAAGTATTACGCAACATACTAAGAATCTGAGTTCGAGATATAACACGGACATACACTTTAATCTTTACTTATGGTTAAATTATCGTAATGCTTCAAGAATTTCGTGGTCTGTGTTCACCAAATGCATTTAAATTAAGTGGTCTAAATTTGTGTATATTTACTAAGTAATAATTCAACACAACTTATCATAATGTTATCGTAGATTAATGTAATAGCACGAAAATTACTGACAGATAAATACCAAAATGGAATGGTCAAATATATGGTTGTTAATCAGACCAAACTTATCCACTTACTACCCATAACTGTTAATTATCGTTTTGATTAAAAACAGCTACATATTAAAAATGTAGAAGATACTGGACACAGTTGAACAGCATATTCTTCTATGTACAATTAAATTATATTAATATTTCTGAATACATTTTGTAATGGTTATTCAGATATTTGTTTTGTTATTGAAAACAATCTGTATTAAAACGTACTTGATTGTTTTTTTCAAGCTAACAGTTCATTTATTATACATTATGGCTATCCGGACTCAGTGGCTAAGTGGATAACGTGACAGTGTTTGAAGCGCAAGGCATTGGGTTCAAATCCTAAGATGGATATCAGCTCAGATGCGGATACATTCAGTAGACAAGTCCCAGATAGTATGTAACACGCGTCCTTGATTCCACTGCTAGCCACTATTCATCTCTACTTAGAAGCATTTATTAGTTTTTAATCTGTGGAAATAATTATCATTTTGTTTATTTTTTACTTAAAAAATACTGTGGTTTTGTAACATTCATGATATATATAGTCATAAAAGTAGGTTTACTACATTGTTTTTGCGCTTCACTAACTCTTGCTAGCCACTATAATAAAAACTATTTGGAAAGTATAGTTGTCTATCTATATTTTTTCTTTTTCACATGTACATTTGCTCTACTTCGGTTGATTAACCAAACTACTCTATTGTTCATAGATCATCTGTCTTAGTTACAATATTTTACAAACTGTGATTTCTTTTCTTTTGTGACAGTCGTCCGAGCAAGCATCCATCACTCATTAAAATTATCATAACATAAAAAAACTATACTGTTAAGGAGAAGAAAATACATATGCTCCTGTGTTAAAGTCTATGAAGCATTCTTATCGTTCAAAATTTATCAGTAGTAAATGAGACTGGTTTTGGCCTATAATTTATTGATTGAAACTCAGTTGTCAAAATCATTTATATGTAACTTTAAAGATGAAGCACAAATCGTTTAAAGACAATTAGCTTACTGGAATCAAAACAGTATCTCAGAGATGAATAGAATTTTTTTATATTCTTACAAGACAGAACAGCTTTATTGAATGATAGAAAACAGTTTATTTACGTATTGTAATAGACTGTTTTCGAATTGTTGGAATAAATAATTCTTCAAGCATTGAAATTTTGAATATCCGGACTCTTTGTAAAAACATTAGATGACTTTTCAGTAAGTTTATCAGAAAATATTATTGAACTTTGCTTATTTATTTGTAAATAGCGTGCATTGATATTCTCTTTTTCTTCATCTGTCGAATACTTTTCAAAATCTACTTCAATAGTCATGGATAACATTGGTGTACGACATAATAAACATATATGATCCAAGGCTATTTGACATGCACGACAAAAATAAGCACCACATTCTTCACAACGTGTGAAATTTTGTTTAAATTCAAGTTTTTTTGATGGATTCCCGTCACTACCACAAAATGTACAGATAATGCGTTGAACTCCGAATAACTGAAGAAAATGTGCTACACGTGGATGACGACTTAAATATCTCCCAAATCGTGACAAATTTTGTGATCGGTGATTTGAAGTGATATCTATTGTTTTAATTTTGTGTATAATACGATTATATAAACCACGGTTATTTTTTATATGTATACGAAGCCAGGCTGCACGTCTAGCTGCTTTCTTTGGATAGTACCATATCATGATGGTATGTCGTAAACGCATAATATACACCTAATAAAATAATAGGAATAGTTTAATTAAAGTAAAAATCTGTGATGAAAGATTATTTCATGTACAAATTTTGCCTTATTTATATCATAGCCACTATTATTAAGGACAGTAACAAATCTGAGAACATGAAGTTTACACTTTAATAACAGATGATATCTTGCAGAACAGGGCTCCTTACTAAAATACAATGGCACTCTTTGCCTACACTAAAACAGAATAAGTGATCACCAGGGACATAATATTGAGAAACTAATAATCCGATGTTACGTCGTGTTTACTCCTGACTTTGTGAATCACCACTATGACTTGACTTGGAAATCTCTAGAATTCCTCAACTTAGCAAGCACCGGCTGGCGTATTCATATAATTCAGTAAAAAACTTTACACATTAGGACATTTTGATTCCTAATTTTTATTTGATCTACTTTAACTAACTTAAGTAAAAAGGTAGTTACTAGTTTAGGTGATTATACATCGCGTATACTTTGTTTTGATATTAATTTGTTGAAAGGAGTCAGAAGGAGACATAAGTTCCGGCTAGACCATAGATAGCTCAGAAGTGACTCCTCAAATTGTGATTCAGGGTGCTCCTGCTTCAGAATCCGAGGAAATAGTAGTTCCCTTCAAAGCAGAAGTAAGACTTTCTCATCAGTACTAGCTAGAACGAAACCTAACCTCATGGTTCCCTATATACTACCATTAGGTACTAAATACCAGACATATAATCTCTTTTTCTTCTCATGCTTTTAATAACCAATCAAGTCCCAGGAAAGTAATCACAATAAAGCAGAAAATCAAGTGAAGAAATCTCAATGGGTTTAAGCGAAGTATGGTAAATAAAACAAGATCAATATAACGGTTAATAAATAAATTTATGTTTTCATCGATCATTAACTATTAATATTTATAATTCACTCATATATGAAAGCTTCAAAGCTTAACGTTTGAATAGATGTCCCTGGTCTTTCAGATACTTTGTTTTATCATGTTTTGCATGTCTGTCACAATATGTTAAAATGAATTAGCGACTGGCCATTTTGATTGTCCGCCATCGTATTAAGTTATAATCTGAATATTATGACGTTTAGTACAT